AAAAACCAAAACTAAAACATGAAGACAGGAGACTTGTATGTGTTTCTCTGTTGTGATCATTAAATGCAAACTTTGAAAAAGTCACCGGCAGTGTTATCATCCTTAGTGTCATCCCTTCTCAACAGAGGGAAAAACATACAACATCCATCATCTGCATGATGCTCGTCGTCCTGTTTCTGTCCTGTCATGGTAAAGTCACGAAGAAAGAAGAAAAGAGAGATCTGGAACTTGTAACAAATTTATTCCATAAAATATACTTGCATGTAGCTCTATGAAGCAGTGTTGCTACAGTTCAATCCAAGTTTAAAAATATTCCACACAGGACAGGCAGGCTGCAATATCTGATCTGAAATCACATCTTTCATCTCAACAGGTGAAGAAAATGACCTTGTGTTTGTTACTTTGATCCATTTTGAAATAAACAGCTTTCCAAACAGTTTAAAAGAAATGATGAAAACCTCTGAAGTGACCGTGTAAACCTTTAGTCCAAGTAAAAAAAAACAAAACACCTCAAATCAGGGTCACTAAGGGTTTCATAAACATGCAGCATTAAAATAAAAGCACACATACAAACAAGGCCTCAGTTTAGTCTCCGTAAAATCTGTTCAATTAATCACAGTTCATTTATTCATTTCACAGCTCAAATATTCTTTCTGATTTCAGCTGTGTGGTGGGAAAATGTTGAATGTTTTGTTGAGACAGACAGAGAGAATCAAATGTAATAAAGATCCCCAGATACAATCGAACCAGGGACGTTATTTAGACCACTTGACACCCCCCCCCCCCCCCCTCCGCAGACACCGAAACCTCTACATGTTCTACATATTGTAAACTGTCAAATGTAACTCAAATGTAAAATGTTGGTAAAACACTCAAATATCTAGAAAACAAAAGTCATGACCTCTGTGTCTTCAATAGATGCTACGGACACAGATCATCTCTGCAAAGGAACACGAAGTGAGTTCAGTTTAGTCCAGCTCTCTTCGGGATAACTGGTATCACAAAGTCGGCTCAGTTAACTCTGTGTTTATCTCTCCGGTTATGAGCACGTTCATGTGAAGGAAGCAGACTGACAGACATGACTACAAGCAGCTTCATCAGAACCTTGAATGAACTAATATGAAATGATTATATGATTATTATCTTGATACAGTTCAGCCCAAATATTGCGATATACAATATTATCGCGGAGGAGGGGTGTTATTGTATTTTATGTTTCAGGTATAAGTGATGTGCTACTAAACAGCAGTTCAAAGCAGATGCTGCAAATCCACAAAAACTACAAAAAATAAAACAAGTCTTATTTTTCAATATAAAAAATGCATGTAGTGAGAAATCCTGCGATATTCGGTATTATCCAATATCGACCTGAGCCTATAAACAGAAAGCTGGATTGAGTCCAGGACCTGTAGAATCTACATATCCTACAAATTAAAACATGAACTCATTTAAATGATGTGGCTGCTTCTGTAAGTTTCTGTGATGTTTTTTGTAACATGATTCTGCTACAAAAAGATCTGAAAAGCTGATGCTGGTTAAATAAAGAGTTGAGCAAAGAGCTCAGTGGCTGATTAAGTAGGAAAAAAGTGTGTTTTCATTTCACTGTCAGACCTAAGTAGTGTCATTACAGCAAAAAAAAATAGATAAATAGACAATAGGAGTACTGAGAGTTACACATTTGATAAATTATCCTCAATTAGGAGCAGAACCTCAACTTTAGTTTCCCCAAAATAATCCCTCCCTGACAGCCTCTCACTGAATCCCTAACCCCAACCTGAACCAAATAACGCACAGATAAAGGTTTTCCACGCTGTGTGTTGTGTAACAGAAGGTGAAGAAGCAGCAAGAAATGACAAAGCTGCTCTGAAAAAAGGCATCCGAAGCTGAATATAATGTTTCTATTAGCTGTAACTGTATCATGGTTTTAGTCCTCAGTGTTCCCGTGCAGCATCTCCACGTCACTGACGGAGGATATCTGAGCTCCTCACATCCTAAATGTTATTAAGACTGGAGGAACGATGGGAACATTTTCCTCCAGTCAGCAGCTTGTATCAGGCTATCATCTTGATATAACTCTGTACATGTGCATAGTCTGTTTATACAATATTTATTGATTCATTGCCTCCATCATTTCCCCTGTGTGTTAACTCATGAATGAGCCAATAACTTTGTCTCGTCCCTTATTAATCACTTGTTTTACACCACGAATGAAAACCTGTTTGTGGTTCTCAAAAACTCTCCACCAATCAGAACCGTTCCACATTCTTCCTGCTGATGTAAATCAGTTCTTCACATCTATTTTTGTCCCTTATCCAGTCATCCACTCCAGGTCACCATAACCACTAAAACCACTGGTCTCCATAGTAACCAAATCCACATAAAAAAACACACATATTCATCAGTGAAAAAGCAGCAGAATTTACCCTGAAAACATGACCCTAATGACTGAGTGCTGGAGCAGAGAGGAAACGCTGCATCAGGTAAAAGTGTGTGCAGCTGTGTGTGGAGTCAGCTGTGGAGGAGGATACGCTGATGAAGGTTATTAGATGATTCAATGCCTCTGTAACTGTTGAATATTACAAACTGGTTTGATTCATTCAGATGCTTATTAAAAAAGTGCAATAAAATGATTTGCTCCTCAAATCTAAATTGAAATCTTAATGACAAAGTAAATAATCCTGGACGTATTCAGAAACACTATAGTTTTAGAAAATTCACAGCAAACTGTTCCAGCTGAAGCGTGACAATCATCATGGTGAAGATGATGATTAATGGTTCAGAATCATTCTGTCAGTTACTCTCTGACTTAGACTGATGATTGTCTCACTACTGAAGTGATGATTGCTTTGTGAACTAAAGCTGAGGTAATCGTCTCTATGTTCTTGACCTGTACTAATACCTGTTTTGTTTGTCTCATGCATGTGAACACAGGAGTGACCTCCTACACATTTCTGCCAATGGTTTCACAGTTCTCCACTGATCTGCAGGTGGCGGTAATGCACCAGGATATGCAGCCATGTGTCAATAAAGGCAGTGAAGAAGCAAATGGCCAGTAACTCAAACATTTTAAATCAGCTTTAGGAGGAAGGAGCTGTATTGAATGCATTTGTTTGACCTGAAGGATACACACAATGACTAACATTCAATGCAAATACAACTTTCATTTGATTACAAAAAAACTCCACAGGGCATCTTTAAAGGGTGAGTTCACAATTTTTCAAGTTTGACTTAACCAATTAAGACCTGATGAGATGTACATGCGTAGTTCATGATTTTGTTGTTTTCTTTTAGACATGTGACATGAAATGCAGTGTGATTCACTGAAATCTGCTCAGGGAGGCGAAATCCATCATGGGAAATATATTTCATTCGTTTTTTCAGCACGGAAAGTTTTTAAAGACGCGGTTTGGACAATGGCTGACGACTTGGGCGAGGGGAGAGATACTGAAGCAGATTACAGCAGTTACCTGGATGACAACAACAAAGACAGCGACTTAGAAGATTAAGACACTGACCTCCAACAATCTAACCTGCTAAACAGTAAGTCAAGGCTCAGGGTGAGATATTGTGGAGGAGGATCAGCGAGTAAGAGCCAGTATCACCGCTAGCCTTAAACCTTTGGCTTTTATTGCAAATCATTGCCTTCACCCTATTGTTCATCAACATTTAAAAATAAAAATCAATAAATGTTACAAGGAGTTGAACTGAACTGAGAATGTTGACAACTGTGCTTGTTTTTCCTGCCATATCAACCTTGAAAAGGCCTGAAAAGACAGACTTGAAAAATTGCGAATTTGTCCTTTAATCCACTGTGAGCGTTGAGATCGAATGGTGCAGACTGTTTGCAGTAGATACACCTGTGCTGAATGTTTGTTGTGACGATGGAGAGGGCGTAGCCTGTTAGCGCTCAAGACTGAGGACTGGTAGGAACTCACAGTATCTCAGATGTTTTCTTTTAGATGTTGTCATTGGTTGATGCTGTAAAATATCAGTCAACCTTTAGTAGGCAAAAAGGATTTTTATTGTTTTACTTAATATTTATGCCATCATCATAGTCACAGAGAAAATGATTTCAGATTTTGGCAATTAGTTGGACACCTTGCCTGTAATGAGAAACCTATATACATGTGTTTGTCAAAGATGAGACACCCAAACATGCACGTCTCTGAAGAAGCGGTTTGCAGTCTGCATGTTAAGGCTGTTTCACGTCTGTGCTTAAATGTAATGTATCATAAATGGTATAAAGACCTAAATTAACATAGAGAATAATGTGAACATGTGAATTTGCTCCTTCCTCTGCTTCTTATAATCATCTATTTGTCCTCTGTCCTCACATTTCTAAAAAAGCTTGTGAATACCTTTCTTTATTTTTGAAAAAATGTTTTCCCTTTATGAATTTTTGTAGCTCACCACAGCTGAGACCAGCTAATATTACGATAAGTGAATACAGGTCCAGGATTATTTTTTTAGGATTATCGTGAAGTCAGAGATGCAAAGGAAACTTCCTGATCTGAAGAATCACAATGATCACTGACCTGCTTTAAGGCTTTTAAAGTTTGACTGAATAGATGAATGATGCATAGAACAAGTAGTAGGAGTATTACAACCACTGTTAGGAAAATAAATAAATAATCATATTTGAGAAAATAAAAATATTTTTGGAAAAAAAAGTTGTAATTTTGATAAGAAACTCTTAAATATTACTAAAAACAGTCGGAATATTTTCAGACAGAGTTGTGACACTGCAGTCCAACAGTTGTGCAAAGAAAATAGTTGTGTAACGTACAATAGAATTTGTCTGGAAATGCTAAAACATGTATGTAATTCTAACCCCAAGCAAAAACTTTTATCATTAATTCTTGAAATACAAGAAATTTTGTTTTTTTCCTGCAATACTAATAAGTTTTTATATATAATAAAATATGTATATTACAATATTGGGATATTGTATACTACAATATTTACAGTATTGCAATATATTAGTAATATTATGACTTGATTCTTTAAATATTATGACTTTTTCTTGTAATATTGTAATATTATGATTTTACTTTTTTGTAATATGACTTTTCCTTCAAACATTACAATGTAATTTTCATATTCTTTTTTTTCTTTTGCCTGTATTATTAGGATTTTTCTGACATTTTTCTCTAAATTGATATTTTTTCATCATAATATCACTTCTTGAAATATTTTAATATAGTCTCTAAATATTCTAAAGTCTTTACTCCTGAAATGTTGGCTTTTTATTGTTATTGTGACTTGTCTCACTTCATGATATCAGGTCAACACTCTTATTGTAGCATGGTGATTGTACTCTGCAGTAAGTGTGTGTTGTTCTAGCCCTCCCCCTCGCTCTCCTGTAGGTTGTGTTTTACCAGAAACTCTTTGATGGTTGGCTGATTGTCTAGCCCCGCCCACTGCTCCTCCAGGTGTTGCAAAAGCTCCTCCCATTGCCGTTTGTCTCTTCCTGTCTGCCACGACAATCGAACCACTGCCCGCAATAACGGCAACAGGAGGGGGTGGGGCCTGTTGGTAAGTGGGCGTGACACATCAGTCTGTGGAAGGGGGTTCTCACTCTGTGGGTGGGGCTTATCTTCAAGAGGGAGGGGCTTGTCCTCTGTGTTAGTCTCAGCGGGGGTCAGGACACGGAGGGCCAGGTCACAATGATCCCGGGCCTCCTCCAGCTGGTCCACTTCCTGGAAGCAGCACGACAGCCCCACTAGAGTGAAGAACCAATGGGAGGAGGCCGGGGGCGGGGCCTGATCCTGGTTGTCGTAGTAACTTGCCCAGCCCAGTTTATGCTGCAGTCTCTTGGCGTTGAGCAGTGGACCCAAGGCCTCCTGGTAACGTCCCACCCTCAACGAAACAAGACAAACTCAACTCTGAAACACTGGAGCTACAACGCTGCTTATTCTGAACTAAAACCTCTGCAGGCTCATTTATTTATCTCAAACCTTCACAGAGATGAAAAACAGAAGAGAAGAAAGGACACATGAAGAGAAAGAAAAAACAAACCCAATCAGCAGCCTGACCATCATTTTAAGAAATTATTCTTCAGGAAATTTGCGGCAAAGAATCAACTATTTATATAAATTATATTTAGTTTTCATATCACTGGCTTTCATTTTAATTTCAAATGAAAGTCCTCTACTTCATTATAACCAGCTGTTTTGCATCAAATGTTTCAGCTGTCCTCGCTCACTGGAGCAGGAGGCACTTGGCCCAGTCCAGGGCCACTAGTTCCACCCGTGTGATTTCATCTTTACCTCATCCTGGAACATGGAGGGGTGTGTGTAGGATTTTATTGGTAATACTAATCATTCCAAAACTGCCTATTTGTCTAGTTGATTACTGATTCTGCCTATTGGTTCCCTTACAGTACTGTACAAGAGAATTCAAAAATTAAGAGCAGACTTTCAAGGGATTTACAACTGGACAGGAACCACAGATAAAGGGAGGAGGGTTTAGTTGGTGCCATCCTCAAATTCTACATGAATTTGACCTTTCCTTAAGATATGTGGCTAATTACACCAAACTGCGACATGCTGCACAGTTTCACTTATCTTATTATCTTATCTTTCACTTAGCTTATTCATAAGAATTCAGAACATACTGGCTGTGGATGAGGACCAGAGCTGGATGCAGGAACAACAGTTGAAGACAACACTTTTCTGTATATTTATATTATTATCATAGTGACTAAGTCCTATACTTTAGTTGCTACCTGTCTGCTCACTGCAACTTTGATTATTTAGACGTGTCCTCAGAATAATGATATCCAGTCCTTACCAATGCTTTGTATCATGATGCGTTTATTTTCTTGTGTCCGCAATGTGTGATGTCCATAATGTCCAATAAAAGTTGTATACAAAATTAAACATAAAACAGCCAAGAAGTTGTCCGAGAACAGTCAACAAGTGTTTGTTTCTTTACAGTGAACAACACCTGTGATTACTGCCTCGGCCTTACATCACCCACTAGCGCTCAGAGGAATATCATACAAATCAAATACATGCAAATCAATACATTACCTCGCTTACTGATGGGTTAAGTTGTGTTTCGTGGTGTACCAATACTAGAAAGGTACTGCTGTACCCTCCCGTTAAAAGATATGATATCCTATTTTATATGTATCTACACTAAGAATGACAGTGTGTTAATAAGTGCTGTATTTCAGAGGCATTCAGTATTAGTATCAAGATATTTCTGTATTGATCATATCAAAGTCACAACTTTGGTATCGTGACAACATTGTTGGCAACTGACACAGACAATGAAAGGCGAGAAGAGACAAGACGGCACTGTCTTGTCTGTTAAAGTCGCACTGGTTTCCACAGAACCTTAAGAGGAAACAACCTCATAAATACTCTGGGTTTTTATTTATTTAAAACCTGCCCTATCAGAACCAAGCTCTGAGGTGCATCCACCTCCTACTTAAGCATCGGTAAGAGACACTGAACAGCAGTCCATCTAATGACGCTCAGCTGACCTCAAGCATGTCATTCAGGATTCTCAAAACCCTGTCCTGTCATTTAACAGAGCTGGGATGAAAACAGCAAACTGCTGCAGCAACATCAGAGAAAAATACATTTTGAGATCTTCTGATGTCTACTGGAGATCATAAAAAGCTGAACATATATAATTTATTATTATATAAAACAAAGTACAAACTCCACACATGTAGGAATGTGTCACAAGTAATACAGACATTCGGATTCATCTTCTCATTAAACAGTGTGATGTTTGGATGAGTTTATAGGTTTAAGATAAGTTTATGTCAGTGTATTAGTTACCTGATGAGCAGCTGTCCGGTCTGCAGGTCAGTCAGGTAGAAGAACTGCCGGACACACAGCGCCCCCCGCAAGGTGGACAGTGAACACAGGTGAGACAGGTACTGCTCAAAAGCCCGGCTCCGCTTGGCGATCGTCTCCGCCGTGAAGTTCCTGCGCAGCTTCTTTCCTACAGTGATCACAACAGGTGGTCGTGGATCAGCAGTGAAACAGGAAACAGGCACCAACTACCTCCCTATCACCAGTCTTCCTCTCTGATGATGATGACATAACTTCTACTCACGTGGAAAACAGACACGTTCCATCTGATCTCCGTGGTTACGCCGCAGTGTGGCATGAAGACGCTGGAAATCGGAGTATCGGCGGGTGATTATGGCCGGAGTCTTATCGCTGCCGCCGGACTGGATCACGTGGATGGTGTACAGCTTGAGAGAGACAGAAAAAGACCAACCATTCCAACAACCAGCTGAATCTCAGGTTCAAGGTGCATTCGGGTTCAACTGTAAAAATGACCTCCTTCACAGTTCACAGCAATGCTGTTTTGAAGTTGTAACTACTTGTTCTAGAATTTGACCTGGGTGACAAACACGAAGTACAGAGACAAAAGGTTTAGGCGCTTTACATGTTCAGATTTTTTTGTTTTTTTCCAGACACTGAGACAGACTAAATCTACAGAAGAACTGAGGCAAGTGGGCCACAGCAAATACAGATCAGATTTTTTTCATTTGAACTCACCACATATTTTGAGGAGCCGTCCTGCACCACGCTGGCGTCAGTAACCTCAAACAACAAGCTGTCCGTCAGCCGCCTCCCAGAGGGAATGGGACTTCCTCCTCCAAGTCCACGCAGACTCCTCCAGCTCTCCTGAAGTTGCCGGGTCAGCAGGGAGGAGGGGGAGGGGCCTACTGGAGACACGCCAACGGGACTGGTATCTACACGAGACAGGTGAAGTTAATTTAGTGCGTTTCTCTAATCTACTATGTGTATTTTTTAACATTAGGGTTGTTTTTAGATTAGAAATCTATACAGGCCTGACACTTTCTGTCATACCATCACTTGGATCATCATCCATCAGGCTGCATACAAATAATGTTTACAGGGATATGATGAATAATGAGCGTATTTATTTGCACTGAATGTAAACAAAAAATGATCTAAACCCTGTTGTAAAAATGAAAGTAAGGATACCAAACACTGATCCACAGAATTAAAAGAGACTGTCCTACTGTAAACCCCTCCCCCATTGTTCGATTCCCATGTGAAAGTAGCAGCTTATATTGTAACCATAACAACAAAAAAAATCTAATGTTGAGGAAGTACTTATTTTAACCAAAATCACAATCTTTTCCTGAATCTACCCATGCCATGACCATTAATATAGAAACCATGGCGACATAGGTAGGTGCGCCGCTCTAGGTACCTAGGTCCAGTACGTCTGCAAACGTAGGGGCGCTATTTCAGGAGACACGCCTATGGTTTTTATCAGAGGGTTGAAAAAACAACCTGTATGGTTGTTCTGGTCGGAGGACTGGTTGAATTAAAATGTGGACAATACAGATCTGGGTTTTTGGTGGACAGATATTAGCTTTACTCCATTCTCTCCACTTGGTCTACATATCCAAACTGCTACACTACTTTTAATCCAGACATGTCGCCTGTTTATGTGATTTACAATTTAAATACTGGAGAGAAAAATGATCAGAGACAGAATTAAAATAAATATTGCGTCATAAAACATGGTCAGGTCGTCTGTAAGTAAAAGTCTGATCCTGACAAAAGCTACACCTCTGTACAGAAGTGACAGACACTGTCTGACATGGTGATGAGTCATGGACACTCCTGCACACACCATCACATACCTTACTACCATTAAAAGCAGGACAAGTCTCATACCAGGGACACTTGTATGTACATGCTAAACTACTACTTGACAGACTGTGTTGTTCATAATATGACACAGACCAGGTGTTCAATGAAGTTGAATAAAGCTAAATTACTATTTGAACAATATGATAGAATAAAATTGCAGGACGAATACCTAAATAACGTAATTTTCCTTAAAAGCCAGAGTGAGATTCAACAACAAGCTGAATTGGAATCAAGTCAATTTTTATTGTCAATTATAAGATGATTCTAGTAATAATCACGTACATTATGTTAAATCATCAGACCACCACCTCACCTGCGCTGCTGAGCCCCTCCTCCATTGACTCTCCCAGGAAATCAGAGTCACTGTCCAGCCCCGACCCCTCGCCCTCGGGTCCGTCCTCTTGTCCTCCTCCTCCTCCGCTGTCGAAGCAAAGCGTCCCTCCGAGCCTATCGGTCACACACTCCTCCTCCTCCTCCAGCTCCGCCTCCCAGCGGTCCTCATTGAACTCCTCCTCCTCCTGTCCGCCTCCTGCTTCCTGCTCAGTTCCCGCCCCCTGACCATCTTTAAACAGCGAGCGCTTCAGACGGTCCAGCAGCCGGGACGCCATGATGCTGCCTGGCCACTGCAGGGGGAGGGGTGGCTGAGAGAAGAACAGGGGAACAACATAAATCAACATTAATCATCTTGCAGCTGATTGATTTGGTTTAAAACTCTAGTTTCACAGTAGTGTTGCTGGCAGAAAGACCAGAAACATATGTGCTACGATCCATCATCCTCCAGACAAACTCATATTTTCCTCCAGCTGCTGTCAGAAAGGTGACACACTCGACCAATAATCCACAGAAAATTAACCCACAACAATCATAAAGATTTATTTATGATTTGAGATGATGTGTTTGCTGGTTCCAGTTTCATTAAAGGTCCCATATAGTATAAAGGTAGATGTCCATGTGTTTTTTGATTATAAAGCAGGTCTAGGTTCTATATTAATACTGTGAAAGTATCAAATTGCTCAGTCCACAGAGAAATGCACACAACCTGTATTCAGAAACTGAGCCTTAAAACAAGCTGTCAGGACTTCTGTAACTTTGTGATGTCACAACAAAGCAGTCACCGCCCACAGCCATGCTAGAGCTCCAGAGAGAGGCCTGAGAGAGATGTAAAACTATGTTTTCTGGTTTTCTTAGTCTTCTGTGATAGAAAATATTTTATAGACAAAACAATTTATCAGTTATTCAAGAAAATAATCGTTAAACAAATCAATTATGAAAATAATCACAGATTCTCATTGAGAGAATGAATGATATGGATGTGTAATATCACTGAAGAATTGTCTATAAATTTATGGGGACCTCAGGAAGACTAGCCACTGTTACAATACAGTGGCTAATGGGGATCTAACTAAATTAATTAATAAAATGAATAAGTAATTAAGTGAAAATTAAGTAATTTTTCAAGTTCCAGTTTCTCAAATGTGACTATTTATGACCCTTTTTTGTCCTTTTTGATAATATTCCTATGATTTGAACTCTTGGTCGGACAAAACAAGCAATTTTGTTCTGTCTTTTTATAGACTAAATGATTGAGAAAATAATCTGCAGACTAAGTGATAATATAGGGACTGTAATAGTCTGTGTGTCCTTGGCAAAGTCTCTGCAGAGAACAGGGGAGGAGACGAGAGAAGAAGATCACAATCACAACACACATCTGTACCTCCACAACAGTTACCGCCCGTTTACTGCCATGAAACTAGAGGCCAAAGTGTTAGTAGAGCTTCATAGTAAAGATCCAACACCTTTACTTCCAGAATCCAGGTCACTGAAGAACTAGTTGGTCACATTTGAGCTCCACAAACACACTGATCTACTGTGCAGCAGGCTGAGCTGGCTCCAGTTACAGAGCTGGCGGCCTCTCTGAATGGAAATCATGTCACACATTAATAATACACAGCCGCTCGCTAAGTCAGCCTGAAGCCAGGAAAACAAAGCACACGGTGATGCTCAGGCCTGCAGAGCTTCATCAGGATCCTTCAGTCAGAGGTTCAGTGTTTTTAGCTCATCAGCACCTTTTATACACAAGATGTAAGAAAATACACTTAAACACATTTAAATTTGTTCAAGAATTTTAAAGTCCTTTGAATGAGTCGTATGTAAAGTTTTGTGTGAATGTGTCATTTCGTTCTTTTTTTATTTAAAACATTATACGTCCTATGGTCCATTATGTAGGGAGGGCAGACGTGTAGCATTGCCTACTTCTTTTGTGTGGACAATAAACTGCAAATAATGTAACAAGAACTCAACGTGAATTATATAAAACAGAAAAAAGCAGCACATCTTCACGTTTAGAAAGCTGCAAACAGCAAATGTTTAACATTAATCTATGTTTAATTATTGACCTAAACTAGTAAATAGTTGTTAGATCTGTTATGCATTGGCCATTGGCTGATTATTTGTTTAATCAACCATTTGCATCTTGTGTAAAACTGCTGTCCAATAAAACCAAATGTGCTGTTGTCTATGCTGTCCTCCTGTCAGCATGAGAATGGTCAACTGACAAACTGATGGAACTGAATCATACTTCATTATTGAAGATATAGGTGCTACAACCACATGAGAATATAATAGTGGTATTTATTAAAGCCTGGGCTCATTTACTTTCCTTTTAAAACCTGTTTGATTCTAACAATGAGGGAGGAGAAGTGGGAGTTTATGACGCGTCCGTGAACGCAGCACACTGACCAGTTAAACTTTAGCTTTAACACCAGAATAAATAATTTTAACCACACAGATATAAATCCGCTACAGATACTCTTTGACTGAAGATGGTGTAGAGCTATCTGCTAACACTGTTACATAGCACAGTAGAGTCAGTAAACAGGCTGAGGTTAATATGTTAAAGTTTTTTAAGTTAGTCGGTGATATTAAACGTTACCGACAATGTTCAGTTAGCTAACTAGCACAGCGGGATTTGGAGCTTCAAGCTAACTCTCGTTAATCCATCTTGACATTGCAAATGTAAAGTTTAAACCTCCAGCTCAGAGTTTTGTCAGACACTCCCGTTTCCGTCGGTGTCCACACGCCGCTGACTGAATGAAGGGGCTGTGGTGCTAAAAGCTAAACCCGTTAGCTCACATCACCGCAAAAGTTAGCGAACAAGCTAACAACTTTGTTTACACTCAGTGAGGTGACGGTGTGTACTGGTTCATTCGCTCGGAGGTTTAGGTAACTCACCCCTAGACTGGAAGCTGACCGTCCCCGCTCCTCTTAATCCATCTCAGCAGGTACATGTAGACTTTGAAGCTCCGGGCAGGACCTGAGGGCTGGAGCCGGTCCTGTTGGTGTTTCCGAAGTCCACACACACATACATACACACAGCTGACTAACTGTATCCTGATTCCTGAAACTCTCCCCCGCTGCAGCCTGCAGGAGGAGGCGGCTCAGATGTCGGACACGCCGCTCCATATACGGCGGTGCGTTTCTCCACACAGCACAGAAGAGGGCGGCAAGTATCTGATTCTGATCCCAGCATGCAACTGGAGGGACAGCTGTCTGCACCCCAGGGAAAAACACACATTGTGTTGTGTTCAAAAAAACTGTAATTTTAGAAGGAAAATAATGATAATGATAATATTTTGTTAATAAGTTGTTATTTTACAAGAAAAAAGTCATAATGTTACAAGAATAACGTCGTAATTTTGAGAATATAATCACAATATATAGAAAAGAAGAAAAGTCACAATATTACAAGAATAAAGTTGTAATTTTAGGTTAGTGTTGTTTTAGAGGGAAAATATCAGAAGAGCAGCAGCGTTAACCTACTTTAAAATGAGGAGCATGTGAAGCCTGTGAAGTTATACTTTAGCACATGTTTCATTAACAAGGAGATACTTCATCTTTTGGCACATCAGCATCACATCATCATAAGCACGAAGACATTGAAAACATTGTGCAAGAGACTGTGTCTATTCTATTGTTAGACAGACAAACAGCAGCTGCCAGAAGCAGCTCAGGCTGCCAGTGACTGTCCTTTCACCTCTTTTTTATTAATTAATTAAAATTAATGACTCGTCATTAATTTTACATTTCTAATTGTGGTAATATTAAATTTTTTTCTCAATATATTTATGACTTTTTCTTGCAGTATGATTTTATTCTCAAAATTACGACGTTATTCTCCAAATTTCAGATTTCGTTTTTTTCCTCAATGAGGCCCTAATACTCGTACCAACCCCTGCAGCAAACCAACATTTAAAACAAGCCTTTCTTCAAATATTAATGCACTGTCACTTTTTAGTTTATGGATTTAATATACCAACAGTAACTGGGCTACCTACTGTGGATGGAAATATTCTGCTTTGTGTTTGTGTGGCACAGGAAACATTGCACAAAGGGAAAAATGGATTCCACTACATGTCAGGATACAAATGTCCTGCGGTCAGTCAAGAGAGTGAAATAGGCTGGCTCCTACAACATGACAATGATCCAAAGTGGACCCTAAAAATCCACTATGAACTACTTCATCAAACACAAGCTGAGGCTTTTCGAACGACCCCCACAGCCCCCCCCGAACATCACTGAAAATCTGTGATCAGATCCTAAACCCGCTTTGTGAGCAGGACAGACTGAAATATTTCAGAACCTGAAGTGATCTGCAGGAAAGGGAGGTCACGAAGAAATGACTTATAGTTTCGTGTATTTATTGCTACAAACCAGGAGCCTTCCATCTGCCAGGGCTGGATTAACCTCCTTTGCTCCTGCATTATGAAGTACAACCATGATGCCTTTCCCACAGTCCTTGAATGCAGCAGTTGTGGAGGGTGTGGCTAACCTGACAGGAAGGTGACAGAGTGGGCGTGGTGTAAATCGACACCCAGCAGGTCGAGAGCCTCCACCCTGCACCAGCAGCAGCAACTGTCCACACTCGGCAGAATCTGAACAGTAAAGACACACGGTAAACCTTCTGCTCACCTGAAAAGGTAAGAAAACCAGCAGCACCAGCACTCTGGACTGGGACAGGACCAGTAACAGTTGCTGGGTCTGCTCAGTGTGTGTGTGTGTGTGTCTGTGTTTGAGTGTTTAAAAGTTTGAAGAAGTGGTTTTGAAGACTGAGACTGGGGTGTGAGTCATTGTGTGACAATATCAAGGTGTGTATACTGTGATACTGTTGTGTTCTTGTGTGTGTAATTTTTTAAAATATGTGTGCAGTTTTTTACAGCTTCATTCTCCTTCTAAACTCTTTACTCTCTTTACATTCCACTTGTATCTCGTAACATTTAGACATTTCAACACTATGACAGTATCACAGTTGTAAATTTTATCATCTTGTTTCAAATCCTTGTTGAAATTTTTGTATGTTTACCATCAGTGAAATATTCAAACCCAACAGCCATGTTTTTATGACTGTGCCATTCTGTTAAATGGAAACATTAAAGATGTTTCCCTGAAATTGAGCCAAACATACAGAACTTCAGGATCTACTATCACTAAAATATTAAAGATAATTAGTTTGTTGGGTTTGAACTTGAACTAAAATTATATGAGAATCCAGCAGAGTTTAAGAAGCTTTGGTTAAAGTCCCCTCAAAAGGTTTATATTCTGACAAAGATCCCTACGTTTCCCAAAGGTACTAAACTCTGGGAGCTCAAGCTGATGCAAATGACATCTAGAACTTATATGTCTTATGTTTCTCGTAGTGGTGCTGCTTTAAAGAATATTTCTCTGTAGAGTTTGGAAAAATAGTTTAAGGTTAATTTAAGGAAAATTTCAGGGCTGGAGACTTGGTCACAGCCACGGTGCCAATCGTCCACCACAGACTAAACATATCTGTGATGGTTGAAGTTAAACACTGTTAAAGATTAACTTGTTTTAATTGGTTACTTTGACCTGAACAACTGACACATTCAGGGCAAAGTCACCAGTCAATGTAGAAACAGGTTTGAGTCACAACATGAACATCTTTTGTGAAGCCAGATGAGTTCTTAAATGTAAACAATTAAACTGCACTTTATGAGGACACTGCCTCTGAATGGGACTTGCTTAAAACTAGGATGTTGTGGTGCGAGCAGCAATCATTTCCGAGGACACACTAAAGCAGGGCTTCAAAGGAACAAAGAATATACAGTAGACTTCAAAGCAAGTATCAGGACATTTAGTACTGTATTATTTTTCTAAAATCACAAAGTCAGCAGAAACAGCTAGATCCTAGGTCCACAGGTGGAGTGACACCACAGTAAATCATCTTGACCACAAGCTCACTTCATGATCTTAGACACCGTTTCCACTGACCGATGTTCCTGTTGTTGTTGCAGTTCAGGAGCATTGCCCTCCCTCAGAGAGGATTTATGGATCAGGTGTATTCATCACATCACATTGTGTCTCTTGCTGGAAGGATGAGTGAGCAAAAAATAGAGAAAAGTATAATTGAAATCACTCATTCGTTATTCCTTATGTGACAGACATTCAGAAATTTACTTTTAAGATTTCAGACACATCTCCAACTCTAATTTTTGCAACTGCAGCAGGCTGTTGCATTGTGGGATTATTAGAAATAGTGGACATGCTGTGGAAAATACTCTTGTGTTATTAGATCGCTGATTAAATCAAGGTTTTGTAAAATGTTCTCATGGTTTTGGTGCCTGTCAGCGCTGATCCAACTGTTCCAACAAGGTGCTGTTGTTGAACCACAGAGTAAAGGAGACATTCACAGATTTTAAGTCTAATCCTAATAGGGTTAGCTCTAATAGGAAACTGTATGAGGATGTGTTTTCTTCAGTGTGGCAGATCAGACACTTGCCAAAGCAGAACTCAACCTCTGTCTCTTTTTTTCTTTTATTCCTGGTTAAATAAAGCTTAAATCAATAACATCTGTTTAGTTACTGTGAGGCTCCTCTGGGCTCCAGGTGACATGTTTAACTCCAGAGCTTCTCATGAGGATGTATGAGTGTTTGCACCATCAACTCTTTGCTCACAACTGCAGCTGCATCTATTATTAACTTATTAACTCTTACATCTAACTGTTATTTTAATTATTGACAACCATGACAACCCAGGTCCGGTACACCTGCCGCTGTATGGGAACTATTTCAGGAGACATTCCTATGGGTTGTATTAGAGGGTTGGAAAAAAACGACCTGTATGGTTGTTCAGATTGGATAAGTTGTTGGCCTATCCTTACAGGGTCACAGGGGGGCTGGAGCCAATCCCAGCTGACACCGGGTGAAGGTGTGGTACACAGGTTTGACATGTAGAGACAAAAAACCAGTCACACTCACATTCACACCTACGGGCAGTTTAGAGTCACCAGTTAACTAGAACATGTAAACTCCACTCAGAACTGATTAAGCATTTAGCATAAAAACATGACAAAACAGTTAAGACCTGGCTGTCACAGGTTTCTCGAGCCCATAGAGACGTCACTGTCTTTCCTCTGCCCAGCAAAACCCAAAGATATTCAGTTTACTCTGATAAACAACAGAGAGCGTTGGAGAAGCTTGGACCAGAGACTGACTCAAACAACTGATCGATTATCAAGACTGTCAACAGGAGTGAGACTGTTTCTGTCATCAGGAGTGTGAGTGCGAGTTCACTGTGCTGTAGTGACAGGTGGCTCTGCCGGTTGGAGCAAAAATGATATTTACCACAACACAGAGTTTCAGAATCAAATGCAATCCCATTACAGGGATCACATTGTGTTGTGTGTTGTTCATGTGCAGCACAGCTCTTGTAAACGGCTGTCATACTAGGATGAAGTTTTATCTTCTTGTGGTTTAAATAATGAAGTGAGTTGGATGGTAGCTGTCACACTGTTGTGTTGAGGAAGTGTTGGGGGTGAGGTGTGAACAGAAGTCACGCTACCAGTCCCTCCACCTCCAGATCTGGGAGGGGCCGAGAAAGGCGGCCTCAGACACAGCTGATTCATTGCTGGACTGACTGACTGACCGACTGACTGACTGACTGACTGACTGACTGTCTGTGTGTGTGGTAACTGACCTGACCACTGTATATAGTGCAATGTCAAAACGGTGATTTCCAAGTTCCTTATTTATCAGCCGCTATAGAAACTTATTCTTCTACATTTCACTCCACAGTTCCACAGTCTGCATGTCACACCATCTGCATGGCTGTAGTTTAAAAGGTACAACAATCTGTAATTAATAGACACACAGCGAGCTGCAGTGTGAGCTTTAATTGAAGTCTGTAAAAATGAAAACACATCTACTCTTCTCCAGTGCGTCGTGCTGTGTTCAAATGTTTTCTGACTTTGTTGCCTTCGTCAGGTTTGTGTCTGTGATGTGTCAGTGATGTGACTTATACTGTGGATCACAAGTAAAAAAAAAACAAAAACAAAGCATGATCAACATCTTTTGAGAATAGTTTTTCAAATGATATTCAAACAGTATTTATTTAATAGATACAGACATTTAAAAGAGAAACACAAAGAACAAACACACATACAAAACATTAGGAGTGTAACGATTCACCAAATCCAAGATTCAGGTCAGAACACAATACATGGTGGTGAGAAATTTGTCCTACCTTCCCCAGCAGAGCATCACCATGTCACATGACATTAGTCAGGTGCTGCGGTTGCTCTTCACCTATCAGGTCCTATGGTTATCTCTCCTCAGAGTAGCTTTTCAAAGTTTCATTACCTGATGTCTTCAGATGTAGGAGTTGTCATGAGTAACGGCTGCATTCCATTTAAGTTTTACAATTCCAACCTTTTCTACTTGTGGAAGCGTAATGTATTCACTTGAGAAAAAAAAATCTGCTCTGTTTTCTGAATGAAAGATTTCTGATAATTATCTTGTTAATTGGTAAATTTCTTTTCCTCTAGGCGTATGCATTACGCTTCCGTAGCTACTGACTTCAGCTAAAATTGAACTTTCCACACCTGCGTGGAGGACAGAGTCTGTGTGACTTAAATGTCATCATCTGCTGTCGGTTTATTACTGCACAGACCTGACACACCTACAAGTGCACCGACTGCAACAATAGAGCTCTGTGGCACAGGCAAATCAAATGCATCAGGCTTTGATAAAAAGACAATATTTGTTTGTAGAGACATTCAGTGCTGGTTTGGCTCTGCAGATGGGATCAGGCAGACAGGGATTACTCAGCACTAACCTGTCACACAAATTTTAAATGTCCTGCCTCCAGTGACCTTTCATTTTTCTATACAGTGCAAACCTATCAATGATGTCTGTGCTTGTCTTTTGTTTAGTCATCATTCAGCCAGGTTGAATTTAAATTTCAGGCATTACCGTGTTTGCAGTTTTTCAGTCATAGTAAAGCAGGGTCATGGTAAACAGGCTCTCTCCCTCTGTCATTTGCCTGCAGTGCCTCAGGTCTGAACACGCACACCCTCCTCCATCAAACCAGTCAAACCACTCAACCTGTCATACATCTCCTCTACGACGACTCGTCAGTGTCTGTTTCTTCTTTTAAAGTTCGCAGCCAAAGCCTTTAAACTGCACCAGCAGTTACAGAACAAGAGTTAGTTAATATTTAAAATCACACCCATCAGATTTCGTGCTCAAATGTAAAAACCCACAGGTGTGTGTCTCCTCCCCTGCAGGCGGTGTTAAACATTCCCCTCCTTGGCAGCAGTCATGTTGTTGTTACTGTGGAGTTTTTCTCTTGTACTAAACTCACCTGTCACCTACAGGCTCTGCCTCTGAACCGGAGACCAGATTTAATCAGTCCCCTCTGTCTCGGTACTTTTCCACCCACTTGATTCTTCCTGTTTGTGTTCGGGGTTGTAACACATGAGAACAACAGTTCATGGTGTCATTTTGTTGACTCATGGTTTTATTTCCCATGTGCTTGATCCATCTGATGTTCATGGCTGAGTGAATATATATATAGTCTAATGTGTTAGAGTATTACTGTTGGAGGTCTACAAAGTCCCATTCTCACAGTGTTGGAATGCAACTAAATACATTTACTCCAGTACCGTACTCTAGTACAAATTAGAGGAACTTGTACACTTTATTTGAGTATTTTATTTTCCCTGACAGTTTATACATTTCAGAGAGAAATGTTGTACTTTGTACTGCATTACATTTATCTGACAATTAACATTTCTAAAATGAATTTGAAGCTCTGGTTCTTGACAACTGTATACATGATTAATATTTATGACATTTATTCAGTTTAAAAAATGAATGAATTAACATAAACAATTTGAAACATTCTCATATGTAATAATATAAATTAATATTTGCTATGTGTAGCTCCAAATATCCTACAGCCATGGACAGATTATGAAGCAACAGAAACCTGGACACAGACAGGAGCAAATCACCCAGACTGAAAGAGGCTAAGGTCGTTTTGAGTCTCTGTGTAGTTGTTCTGTGTCTCTTTGTAGTCATTACATTGACTTTCCATCAAGAAACATTAACTCTAACAGCCCTCTTGTAGAAAATTGAAATGCATCCTTATGTGATTAATATCAATATTCTCAATATCAATAATTGACAAAATAATCAGGAGATGAAATCTACTTTATTGAATCTCGTTGTCAGCTTGCTTACTTGTTTTGTCCTTTTCTTTTTAGCTCATCAGTCATGTGAAGCACTTTGAACTGCACTAACCTGTATGAAAAGTGCTGTACAAATAAAGTTTGATTGATTGAATAATGAACTTTATTTGTATAGCACCTTGCATACAAAAAATACAGCAAAGTGCTTTACAACAAAGAAATGCCGTGAACCAAGTGCTTCGCATGAAAAGACATAAAACGAACATATAAATGTTAAAAACATTGATGTAAAATGTAAAACATTAAAAACATTAATGTAAAATTAGATGAAATAATAATAAAATATTCACATATGAATAATATATAAATAAATAGAATACGTTAAGCATAATATAAGCATAAATACTTATATTATATACTTACTTACATACTTATAAGACACCAAACAATAACAGCATTTAAAAGAAGTGCTGAGCAAAGATCTGGTTAAAGACTGAAGTGAAGAGATAGGTTTTAAGCTTTCTTTTAGTAATACTTGGTGAGCTGCTTCTCTGATATCTATAGGTAGGTGAATTGGTTGTAGAAAAAATGTCACGAGTGTTTTCAGCTGCTGGATGAGTCAGAAATTTAGATTCAATCTAGTTCAACAAAAGGATTCAATGATCCCTTGTTTTTAAAATTCCCAGTTGTTTATATGTTGTTTTAGTTTCAGAAACAATGAGACACTGAATTATGTAAATTTAAATAACAGCTGGAAAAATCAAGGCGCTCTAAAACTTTAGACCCGTGACATTGTTGTGGTCCTGTTTTATTTTGGACTCTCCACATGACACCATGGGCTTCACATCAATGAAAATTGCACGTCTTTTGTTCACAGTCCAGCCATGAGGTGGCGCTCTTCTGGTCTTCCTGTCCTCCTTCTCTTGTTGCTCACCCTCTCAGCAACAGTGTCAGGATTCAGGATCTGCTCCTACAATGTGCAGAAATTCAACCTCCAGAAAGCTTCAAACTACAGAGTGATGCACACTCTGACACGGGTAGGACACACACACACACACACACACACGCACGCACGCACGCACGCACGCACGCACGCACGCACGCACGCACACACACACACACACACAGTCATTGTTTTTTTTTTTTTCAGGTAGTGTAATTGTTTTCTGATGATGTCAGATGTTGTAGGAACTTGTATCAGCATCCATTTTATTTCCATAGTTTTTATTTTTCATACCTTTAAGGACAGACTGACTGCCTCATTATGGGAGAGTGGCTGGTTAAAAAGTGTCTGAGGGCAAAAAAGATGCGGGTTTATCATTTTTGATGTTTGTGAGGTCGATTGTTTTTCAGAAGTGGGTTGATAGTGTCATATTTCATTAACTTTATTTTCTCTATATAAGCGGGTTTCTCCTCCTGTCCTGTGATACAATGCCTGAAACAACCTTCTCTAAGGGTCTCTCGTCCTGTGGGGAGATTTTCTCACCTGCTGTTTCCAACAACAAAGAAACTTTGAACCTCATTTTTAAAATAATTTGTATTCAAATCCAGCATGTCCATGAATGTTAACCACTGTTTTACTGTCAACCTGAGCTGCCGTTATTAACTAAATGAAGTGGTTTTCACACACAGACAATTTAAGGGCATTAAATGCCGACTGTGAGGGATGATCTACAGTATCATGGAGCCTGTTTTGGAAACTTAATAATGTCTGTCTGTCTGTCTGTCTGTCTGTGTCTGTCTGTCTGTCTGTCTGTCTGTCTGTCTGTCTGTCTCTCTCTCTCTCTCTCTCTGTCTCTCTCTCTCTTTCTCTCTCTGTTTGCATGCAGGTGATCGCTGGCTGTGATATCTGTCTCCTGCAGAACGTGATAGATTCAGAGGGTGAAGTCATTCGGTCTCTGTTGTCGTCCCTCAACAGGTAAAGTGAAAACCTGTGAAGCAGTTCACATTTGGTGACTCTAACTACAGCTTCTGGTGGCCAGTATGTAGGTAGTAGTATGTAGCTTTTACACTAGGAAATGTTGGGTAGTGCTTTAACTATAGCAACCAAAAATCCTCAGCTTTATTAAAGGCCATGACTCATTTTGTGTAATGAACAAGTCAATTAAAAAGCTGTCACACCTTCTAATAAGGCACCTTTTTGTAAAAGGTAAATTTCCAAATGGTGGTCATGATGGTTAGTAAACACTTTTTTTTAATGCTTTATGAACCATTAATAAGAACAAGTTTTTGGTCGCCAGGTTACCACTCAGAAATCCTATTAGCTGGTTTTCACTTTCATCTTTCTAATGATGCACTCTTTGTAAAGGTTTTATTTAAAAAAATGAGTTTGTTAATTGTTATTAGATAATTTACTAGTACTTTATGACTTTTTAGACAATGAGAGATACTTGAGCTTTGATGGTGATGAAACATTAATAACCACATTATTACCAAATAGAAAGATAAACACCATTCACAGGGATTTTTCACAACCTGGCGACTTATTGTTTGTAACTGACCTATAAAGTAGCAGTAAATAATTTGTTAAGCATTCATAGAGGAAAACAGTTGCAATTCATAAATCTCTTAAAAGGGTGTTTTATTAGATTAGTGAACAACTTTTTAGTTGACTTTTTTATTGTAAAACAATACATGTCATGTCAAAATAAAGGCCTTTACATCAAGTGTTCTTGGTTAATAGTTAATGAGTCATTTTTCAATCCGTAATATATGAATCATTGTAAATGAAAGTGGTACCAACAACAATCCAGGTTGTTAGCAGACTTTCAAAAATGACAAAACTTCCATTAAGGCCATTTTTGAATGATAATAAATGTTTATATCAGTGAATCTGTACAAAAGAAGCACTACTTTTACATATTTCTGGTCAAACTTGCATTTTTCGCTCAGTATCTTTGCTGGTTGTAGCTGATATTTGTACATTTGAATCTGACCATTTTTAATAAGACAAAAAGTTAGTTTAGTTTTATTCGTTTTTAAATGGATGGTAGGACAGGGTTCAGAACAGGGTTCAGACTCCACTCAAACTCTCGGCTCCATTATATCAATGGTAAGAAATTTAGGTGAGTTTTTATATATTAGATAATTCATATTCACTTTATAATTCATAAGCGCTAAGATGGTGTTTTAAAAGAACAGGTGAAAGTACAAAATATTTATGTTTTATATCATTAAACAGAAGCTGTTAAACAGGATTTTTAGATACAGCAAGGATTCAAAAATGAATGTACACACACACAGTTTGTACCAACACTGCTGTACCCACAACATGTGTGTATTAATACAATATGGTCATTGTGTGTCTGCTGTCTACCTCCAACAGGGAAACTGACAGGTACAGTGGATTTTATGAGCATGTGTGACATCATATAATCATAACAAATCATCCCAATCAGTCTTAATTTGCCTTCTTTACTAATCCTAACGCCTGTAATAACAGGTAACACTTTATTTTGGATAATCACTCGTTACAGGGCAACATATCAGCTGACTGTCAACCAGATATGTCTCAACAGATCAGACTAGAGGAAAAGTCTCAGTATCAACAGGTTCATCAGACGAGTGTTTGTTAAATTTCCAACAGATAGAAACATGTTCTGACACAATGAATAACCCTGATTTTATCTATTTATTTTTATGTGTCTTTTACCTTAAGATTAAAGGAACAGCTCTGTTTGTTCATTATAAAGATAAAGAATATGACTAGCCTAGCTCAGCACAAAAAAATAAGAGAAACTGTTAAAACACACACATTTCAATAACTCCACAAGTATCTGATTTACATGTTGAATCTCATTTATTGAACAGGTGTAATGGGTGTCTACCCTACTGCCAGCTAAACCCTGGACCCTGGAATTAGTTTGACAGCTAACAAGATACAACATGTTATTAAGCTAGCTCTGGAGTTGTTCCAGGGTGTTTTTGTTTTGTTTGTACCATTGATGGAGCCAGGCTAGCAGTTTCCCCCCACTTCCTTTCTTTGTGCTAAGCTAGGCTAAACACGCTGTAGACCGAGAGTACATTATCTCCATACTTTAGTTTGTAAAAAAGTTTTTTAGCCAAACTGTTTGTAAATCACATCCGGGGGGTGATCAGAATGTACAGGCTAATTTACATAAACAGAATGCTGTTGGCCATCAAGAGGCTGAAGCTGGAGAATTTCCTGTTGTCTGTTGAAACTGTCCTTGTTGAGAGTCAACTAAGTAGACTTACTAAAATAAAGTGTTACATCTTATTATATCCAAGGGTTAAATTGGGATTTTTGTGACAGAAGAACAGTCCTGATGATAACTGCCACTTAATTTAGCATTATAAAGACCTGATAAGCACCACAATTCACTATCATACATTTCAGATAATTAATTAAGTTGAATTCAAAGTGAAAAATGTATGCTTGATTGCTTTATCCCAGAGAGCAAAATAATTTTTTGCAGTGATCCCATTAAAATGAATTTAATTCAGCGTTTTAAACTCCTGTTTGACTAAGTCGTTCCGCATGAAACACTGAACTTCATGACATTTTCTTATTCTCTATAAAAGAGATTTGTGTGTCGTCAGTGTAGCAATGAATGAATGAATGGAGTGTCGTATTTCTTGAAACTGTGATTGAAATGCAGCATGTGCTCACAGAAGTGAAGGGGACCAAGTATTGAGCCCTGTGGGACACCACATTCAAGTTGCTGTGGTCAGTCAGACATTTATGAGCCAACCAGGAAAGTGTTAGTCTGATGCAGTTCTCCATTCAGATAAAATTTTGAAAATTAGATCAGAATCAACAGCAATTAACATTAAATTCTCTGATGAATACAGTTTGAATAGAGTGATAAGTGACTGTTACTCTTCCTGGACTATTCTTATGTACTTTTACTTGAGTAGAGTTTTCAATGCAAGTAATCTCCTAGTGAAGTAATATTAAATCCAGTGTATTCTCTTTGTCCGTCTAGTACTCATTCCACTATTGCTAATAATCAGATAAATAATTTTTCCATTGAAATCTGAATCACTATAGTTATTGATAGTGGTACAGTATATATGACATTTTTTGGGCTTAACCCTATAAATGGCCCAATTTAACCCCAATTTTTTGCAGCTGCTTCCTTTCTGGTGATGTCTAACAGGGAACATACAGACAGGTGACAAATTAAAGAACAAACTTGAAAAATGAGTGGAGAAACAGGATCGCAGTGTCCCTATCCACAGGTCATGAGGGGTCACTGATAGATTGATGAGTATCAACATGATGTGATTCATATGCTCTGACCTTCACAGTCACCAGAGCTCAACCCAGTCTAACACCTGTGGGAGATTTTGGACTGAGTGTTAGACGCTCACTCAACACTTCACCTAAGACACTTTATGTTGGTTTTTCCTTTGATTCGTCACCCGTCTGTACAATCTGTGGTGGTTGGTGTCCAGTCTGCTCATAGTTAGTTAGACCTGTTAGATGTTAGGCACTGTGGAATTTGCAAAGTGCTCTTCTTACTTAACAAATGCATGTCTGTTGTTTTCACCGGGACCATTCTGAGGGTATTAACCTTGAATCGACATGGGCAAAGACTAATATGGGAGCTAACTGAGGAGTGTTACAGTGGTGGAAGAAGTAGAGATCATTTACTTAAGTAAAATTACAACAATGTAATAATACTGAAATACATATGAAATACTACTTAAGTAAAAGTACATAAGTATTATCAGCAAAAAATGATTTTAGGACTTGTTATGCAATAAAAGGTTCCTGTGGCTGATAAATTATTATATATGACATTATTAGATTATGAATACTGATGCAACAGTGTGTAAATAGCATTTTACTGTTGTAGCTGGTTGAGATGGAGCTACTTTTAACTACTTTATATACAATTCAGTAGTTTAGTCCAGGGGTTCCCTCTGCTGAGGTGCACGTAACCCAAACCTCTCCAGTGGTACCGCCCAGCTCAGTGGCGACAGCTTGGACTCTAGTTTCATTAGACTGGTGAATGTGTCTTATCACAAAACTTTGCCCACAGTGATTCTTAATAAGTTTTTTGAAATAAAATCTGTCATATCAAATTCAAAAATCACTCACAAAAACTCCCCAAATCTTTGAACGTGTATGTTGCCTTCCCTCCACACTCTGAGCAGTGTGATGTGCTGCTGTCTCTCTGCTGTGTTTTAGTGACATTTTCTCTGTGTCTTTGTGTTGAGGTATGATGACAACTACCTCTACAAGTCAGTGTCCAGTAAGGGTCTGGGAAAGTCTGCGGATGACATGCAGCAGTATGTTTTCTTATACAGGTAAGAGACAGTGCTGTGATCCATGTCTGTACCTGCTTGTCCAGGAACAGACACTTTATGACACAGCTCACAATTCACAGTCGTTTTATTGAGTGAAAAAGTTACTTCTTCGCACTGATACTTCAACGTAGGTTCAGTGAAAGAAACAAAGCACCAACAGTTCTGAAGTTTGAGGAAAATGTTGTCAACAAACTTTTTCTTGTAGTTTAATTAAATAAAGAGTAGAAAACAAACCTATCTTTGTCCGGTGCACAGCAGGTGGGTAGGGCTTGGGGCATGGCTGAGAGTGGTGACTGCTTTGTTACAAAAGTCCTGATGGCGTGTTCTACGGCTCAGTTTCTGAATACAGGCTGTGTACATTTCTCTGTGGACTGAGCGCTTTGATATTTTCACAGTATTAATATAGAACCTAGACCTGCTTTATGATCAAAGAACACATGGACATTCACCTTTATACTATAATGGACCTTTAATTACATAATAAGAACAAGGTTGTTTTTCATCTTCAGTTTTGTTTCCCTGTACTGTACCCTGCCCAACTCTTACTACCTTGATCCCCAGTGTCCTGTTTCTGTACTTACATTGGAATACCAGTGGAAACCGGTCTGTACTTTATTAGCACCTGATACAGTGAAATTACACTGTGAATCGCAGGTGTTATAGACCCTCATCATGTGAGATACAGCCTGGTGAATCCACCATGTGACCCCTGACCTGTCTTTCTTTTCATCCTGTCGTCCAAACAGGACTCAGACGGTGAATGTGGTGGCTGAGTATCAGTACAAGAGCAAACAGTCCTTCCTCAGAGCGCCATTCATTGTCCAGTTCCAGGGCAAGCGCACTGGTCAGTGGACACAAAACACAAAATGCACCGCTTTTCTTTAATAATTTATCCTTTCAGCTAAACCAGGGGAGGAGTTTTAAATAGTACAGAAACCCTGTGTATCACACAGTCTAATATACAATGACTGACTTTCACCTCTTGTTCTTTACCTCCTTCCTGTTCTTGTTCTCTCTTTCTTTTCTTCCCTCTTTCTGTCCTGCAGCAATCAAGAAGTTTATTTTGGTTCCTCTCCACACTGATCCCACTCACGCCATCCAGGAGATCGACCAGCTCTACGATGTCTTTAAGGAAGTCAGCAAGAAATGGAACAACACGGTGAGAACGTAGGATTTAAAGATCATCTCAATTTATCAATGTGGATTTGACACCGGAGTTTCTGCAATCCACATGTTTATTTACTAAATGAATGGCATTACAGATGTTAGCTGTCAGCTGTAGATAGGACCTCATACCTCACAGTAGCTCACTTTGATTTCCAAACTTACCAGGACCTTCTGAGGTTTGACCCTCATTTTTCCCTCATCTCTCTTGACTATATACAGTACATTTATGAAGGGGAATGACGTAGCTTTGACGTGGCTTATTGCTGAAGCTGAAATTTGTCGTCGTCAAACCAAGTCAGTTTTATTTACACAGCCCAATATCACAAATGTGCCTCGAAGGGCTTTAAAATCTGTGCAGCATAATTTTTTTATGACCACAGGTGTGTGGAGGTGAGACAGTGAGCAGGATTTTATCTTCATTCGTACTTCTGCCACTCTTCATGTGAACAACAGAGTGCAACACCATGAATATGAAGGGAGGAAAGAGTCTGAAAGTTTGCATTATATTCACACTGGGAAACATTATCATCACATTTCCCTCCTCTCAATGACACTGGGTTTCTTGCCCTGCCTGAATAGCAATAAAAACTTTGCTGATGCTGTTCATGTTTGATTCAAGCACACTGACACTTTCAGGCCCTCTACAGGCGATGAGCTATACACCAAGACTCACTAGTGTGTCTGTGCTGCAGCGTGAGATTGCGGCCAATGTGACATGACTTTTCCTCCTCCCAATAAAGTGTTGCACTAGAAGCACAGTTTTAAGGAGAAGCTCTTCCTTCACAGTATAATTAAAGAGCGTGATTAGTTAATAGCTAACTAATTGTGTGTACCAACATGAACACGTCAAAGCACATTGTTAAACTTTGTCAAATAGAAATCTGGGTCTCTGGTCTCTGGGGAAAGGAACTAGAATTTTCAGGCGTCTTGCTGCTGCTATTTTGTGTTAAAACAGCTTCATTGTGTGTGTGTGTGTGTGTGTGTGTGTGTGTGTGTGTGTGTGTGTGTATGTAGAATGTGATGTTCCTGGGAGACTTCCACGCTGCCTGCGCCTACGTGACCCGAGCCAACAGGAAAAACATCAGACTGTTCACCAACACAAGCTTCTCCTGGCTGATTAAAGACAAAGTGGACACCACTGTCAGCGACGACACCAACTGTGCTTATGACAGGTAGGTGTGTGTGTGTGTGGGTGGGGTGTGAAAAAGTGGAAAGTGACGGGAGTGACGAGCCAGGGAGGAAACATTCAGGGGATAAAAGAAATATTTGATATTCATCAAAGCTTTTATCTGTACTGTGTGTGTGTGTGTGTGTGTGTGTGTGTGTGTGTGTGTGTGTGTGTTTGACAGGATTGTTGTATACGGGGAACCTTTCCTAAAGGCAATCAGTCCATCGTCTGCGAAAGTCTACAACATTGCCAAAGAGTTCAAACTCACAAGATCCAAGGTATGTTTGTGTCTGCCGCCATCACACAGCTGATGCTTTACTCTTATTGTTAAAGGACATTTACAGTGTCAATAATGTTAGTGCTATCTATCTATCTATCTATCTATCTATCTATCTATCTATCTATCTATCTATCTATCTATCTATTGCCTGTAACTGTTGAATATGGATTCTGTGTCAGATCAGAGATTTTTCAGTAACAGTCTCGACTGTTGGAGCCGCCTCCTGCAGCACACTCAGTTCAGCAGCCTCTGTGTTAAAGCCGAGTCTATCTGACAGACTCAGGTGATCACACACCTTTGTAAAGCAGGTTTCTCCTTCATATCAGACACAAAAACAGGATTTTAGAATAGAATGAATGAAGGAAACGCCCTCCCTCAGTGATCTGTCAAAGAAGAATTAATTTTAAAACAAATTGGTCATTAAATAGAAACAGGTCTAAGTTGCTTTTTGTTGGTGAGCTCACACCACAGCTCCCTCCCTCCAACAGTCTAATTTGAACCCGGTACAGATCAAATGCATATTTAAGAACATTTTTTAATTTGTCATTCTCATACAAATTAACTGTAAACATTATAAAGTCAGTCAGAGGTGGAGTAACCAATTGGAGCAGGATTAGCAAAGAGCCAATTGGACAAATATCTGTTCATTAATTTGACACCAACAGATAAAACTTCCATCATCTCTGTTTCCTCTCAGGTTTCTATGTATTGATGTAATCACACTATTTGACTCTGAGCTCTGTTGCTTCTGTCTGCCAGGTGCTGGAGGTGAGCGACCACTTTCCTGTGGAGGTGAAACTGAAGAGCTCCGCCCTTCTCCTTCAGGCCACGCCCCTCCTGATCCTCCTCGTCCAGTCCTTCCTGTCGGCTCTGTGAGAGCCTGTTCACCTGTTCGTCCACTCTTACCACTGACAGGGATCGGGGTTCTCCTCACACAGTTCAGAGTCACACAGGTTTTCTTTTAACAGTCATGTGACCTAGTTACTGGAAACCAGCCTCACAGAATCATTTTAAAAGGTCCACATGTTTATGGCTTCCTCGGTTCACAGATTACTTCACTTGAACTGAAATAATGAACAAACGAGTCAGTGCTGCAAATATTCTGGACACTTGGTGAGTTGTGTCACAGTCTGATCTCTTCATCACACAGAGACTTACAGATGCAGGTCAAATCAAACATGTTCAGATTTATACTCACATGTCACGTTTTGTAACAGTTAACTTTAAATCTTCCTATTTAGTATTTGTAAGCAGCAAACAAACATTTAATAAAAGGTTTATCACAGACGATGAAGCAGCTTTAAGGTCATTTGAAGTGTTTATGCATATTGTTACAACTGTATTTTACTATTATTATCTATTTATACCGCAGCCTCCAGACGTCCACAGGAGGCAGTGAATACATTAATGAACACTTACATCTGCTTACAGCTACATTATAATGTGTTATAAACCATTTATTACATGTTTATACACCGCTGAAAACTAAAACTGCCAAATAATGGGGACTTAAACAAAGTGTTGCTGCGATTATTCCGGTTTATTACAAACTTGGGTTTCATGTATGTATTTTAGTCCACTGGTTGTATCACTAATAACAACAATAGACAAACACAAACCTGCATCCTCACACCCGTCCACATCAACTGTGAAATGTGGTGGACAACTCTGGAGAAAGTTTGTATGTGGACCTTAAAGATATTTTTGTCCAGCTGCTGTTTACAAAGTCAGGAATTAACTTTCTTGGTCAATACCCAAGTTTAAATAAAGCTAAATTATCGTTTAACAGTAATAGTGATGGTACTTTTATGATGTGAATTATTTAGAGAGAACAGTCGAGCAGTCATTCTGGTTCATGTATCTGCTATTGACCCCAGCACCGTCTCTCAGGTGGAGGTTATTTGCGGTTATTTTGTGGAGGTTATAAGTGCCAAGTGGGAATTGAACCACTAACCCGTGCATAGATGGTGCCAGCAGTCCTGCAGCGGAGGACTTAAAGAGTTTTACACTGTACATCCTGTCACTTATTGAATGTATGTACATACTATCTATATGACACATTGTACAACTGTCTTTCTAGCAGGTGATTCTTCTCATTTTGACTTTTAGATGTGATGTTTCCTGGTTTTCTATTTTTCCATCAGCTTCATGCGTCTGTCTGTTTGACTCTGTACAGAAACTGATGTAAATATTTGGAGTATGACAATTATAATGTGTTTTTTTAATTATTATTCAGTAAAGTTATTTTATGTTGAAATTAAATTGCTCAAAAAGTTTTTTTTATTTTTTATTAGTCAATGCAGTGCAGAGACCAGTACCAGTACCAGCACCAGCACCAGCACTAGCACCAGCACCAGTACCAGTACCAGTACCAGTGTGCATATATGTATGAGCAAAACCAACTCTGTAGTTTCCTGATACTCCAGATTTAACAGACACAATGATAATAACAGTAATAATAATAATAACAACAACAATAATAATAATAATGATGATAACAAATACCGGAAATATTTGATAACATTTCAAAATATGACCAAATGTGTGAAAGGTAAATAAATTACATATGTATTCATTTGTATACTGTCTCATTCTGTGTTTTCATTTATATTAGAATTATTAGTCATTGCTTTTCATTGGGTTGCTTTTAGGTTTTACTTTTTAGGTTTTACACATTCATTGCATGAACTGTTCAATACACATTCCTTAAATTATCAAAATATTTTATTAACAATTATCATGCAAAATGCAGTCACGATGTGCAAAGACTTAACCACCAGAGTATGTGTCTATATTGTTCGAAGTGCAAAGGTCGAAAGTAGCTCAGGACATTTATTCAAGTACTGTATTTAAGTAAAATTTTGAGGTACTAATTTACTTTCAGTATTTTTATTTTATGACACTTTATAACTCTATTCCATTAAAATTCAAATATTCTACTTTTTACAACATTTATATAATAACATTAGTTATTAGTTACTTTGTAGATTCAGATTAATATTACCAATAATAAAATATACTTTATTCTGAAATGGACCATTTTGCACAATGAGTATACTTTCACTTTTGGTACTTGAAGTGTATTTTGATTCTGATACTTTATTTTACTACTTTACTTAAGTAAGTGATGTTGAGTGAAGGACTTTTACTTGTACCAGAGTATTTCTACATTGCGGTGTTGTTACTTTTACTTCAGTAGACCTGAGTCAGTGGTCCGAACTGCTGGTCCTCCTGCAGGCGCTGCTGAAGCTCTGCAGGTACATACCTGTCAGAACAACTTGTTCCACCAACGAGGAAGAGGCGCTAGTTCCTCATAGCAGAGATCGTCTATTTTTGTGAAGATGAGTCACATTTCAGCTAAATAAATACACTTGGCCATGGTCTTGGTTGCCTGCCTCTCTGAGTGAAAATGAAATATAGAAGTGATATAATCTATCTAAACACTAGTGGGCAAATTAAACAATCTACAGTCATATTAAAAAATATTTTTGCTGCTACATGTAGACACTGGAAACTTACCGACCACCTGAGTTCATTGCTCAAGTGTGTGTAATTATGTTAATTTATTGAAACTTGATCTCATTGCTCATGTTTCAGCTCTACACCTTCTTTGTTAGTATTTATTTAAGATGTGTGTACCTTTATATCTTTAATTACCACGTTTCTTACTCTATATTGTTGATGCTGATAACATGTAGAATATGATATTTTAGTTTTGCATGTGATACTGTGGACTACATAGTTGCAAATGTGTTGCAAATCATATTGTATCTTCATAATACTATTAGGTACAAACATACAGAGTAAAAAGCACATATGTCAAATACGTATTTTTATACCAAATATATATGTGATTTTTGCACAGTATATTCAAACAACTTACACTTTAATTATTATTTCTGATACTCATGGTCAGCAACAATACTCAAATACAACAAAATACAACAAAACCATGACTGACACTGACAATCTTGCCACAGTCAAAGTAACTGAGATCACATTTGTATCTATAGGATTTTATACATTGCCCTGCTGCCACATAATTGGTTGGTTGGGTAATAAAAACAGGTGTACAAGTGTTCCTAATAAAAAGCCCAGTGAATAATTTCACAATTTATGTATGGAAGCTGCCAGTTTTCAGCGATGTCTACGGTTCCCAGAAACAGCGGCAGAGTGAGACCTCCTCTCTCCTGCCGCCTCTCTGCTCGCTGCTTTAGGAAACGTGGCCTTAACCAGACTCCAGAAGCAGCAGCGTAGATGAATGAGAAACACGCAGCTTCAGCCTCCACCTCCAGTCTCTCAGTCTCCGCCACAGATCTAGCACTGCCCGTGGACCCCTGAAGCCCAACTTTGAAGAACCATGTCTGAGGCAGAACAAGTCTCGGTCTCGGCCCCTGAGGCCGCGGCGGCCGCCGTCCTGGACGCCCTGAACGCCACGGACTCCAACGGGACCGAGGCGCTCAACGCTACGGCTAAATTCGTGGCTACTCCGGAGGGAACGGCGCTGGCATACGGCAGCCTGGTATTCATGGCACTCCTGCCCATCTTCTTCGGAGCCTTGCGCTCCGTCACCTGCTCCAAATCTAAGGTAACTTCTAGCGCCAGGACCTCGATGTTGTGGTTTCATCTAAGCCCGGCTGCCGTTGGCCTCCGCCGCCTAGCTAGTTGAGCTAACGGATAGCTAACGGCTGGCCAGGTGATTTTTGAACGAGTTTGAAATGTCTTAAATAACGTTCCTCAATGTAAACACTAAGAGAATCTCAGGCTACAGTTAAATGAAGTCTTATAAGAGTTAAATTCATTTACAACAATAAGCGGTTTTTCGGCAGAAATGAGCATCAACGGACGTCACAGCTGTTTAAATGTAACTGTTATTTTCATTTGCAAATTATCTTTTTTTAAAAAAAAAAGTCTATATCTTCACCTGTTGCACTCGTTTAATCTGATGATGTGTTTGTGGCTGTGAGGTTTTTAATGGGTTGAAAACACAAGTCTTTTTTACTTTGTTTTTTACTTCGTCGCAGTTTGTCCTGTGATGGTCACCTTAGATGTGATGCAGCTGTACCCAGGTGTTTATTTACATTTGTCCCACCGCTGTTTACCTGCTGTCGGACTTTTACCTGGCAGAGCCCACACGACAGAGGGAGATGTGATTTTTAACCAAAAAAGTTAAACAGAAAAAAAGAGAGGGAGATAGACAGAGAGGCAAGGGATAGAAGTTACTAACCTGGAGTGAGAAATAAGTAGATAATAAGTAGATGGATGAACGAGGTGAAAATGGCAGGAGCTGACGTATAGGAGTGTCAGGTGGGTGTGTGTGTGTGTGTGTGTGTGTGTGTGTGTGTGTGTGTGAGAGAGAGAGAGAGACGTGTACAAGAGGGATCTATTTGCTCTCTTTTGGGGTTTTTTGCAGACATGCGCAGCTGTGACTCGTTGGCTTTAGGTAACGGTAAAAACTCCCACATCCTCTCTGCTGCAGCTCAGTGTGATGATGATGACTGTGAGACCGAACATACAGATAAATTGAGTGGTGGTAGGAAGAAATGATCTGAGCTCAGTCTTCCGTGTGTCACAACATCAACTTGTCCAGTTTATGTCCTTTGCCATGGCCAGATATATTTTCCTATAGGGGGGCACTAGGGCACAAATGTGTTTTTGGACCCCTATTGACCCCCAACAATTTCATTTTTTTATTTAAATGTATTTTCCCCACTGGTACAAGCTTCTATAATGTCAGTATTTGCTTTACTTTGGTTTTCTATGATGATAAACTCAGTATATTTGGGTTTTCCGCTTTTGGTCAGATAAGAAAAGCAACCTGATTGTAAACGTGGGTTTGAGGGAAAAATTTTCTACACTGGACAATTGATATTAAAGAAAATACTTGTTGCATGTATTGTATGTATAAAAATGTGATAAGATTATAAAACATATCATATTGTTTATTATTAGATCCGATGTTTGAGTTGTTCCTCCAGTGAGACATGTACACATTAAACCTGGTTTCATTTCAATAACAAAGTATCCAATATTTTACAAAAAAAGATTGGAGAAAAGTTCTAAAAAGTTTTAAAATCACGCAATCTGGCGACAGCAGCGAAAATGACCACCCAGACCCACCCTCCCAAAAAAACAAAAAAAAAACAGTCAACATAGGGGAAACACTGAGCATTGATCATTAGTATTAACAATCTAATAATGTCCATATATAGAATATATCAGTCATGGGGAAGATTTTACTGCATTGAGTACTCTTACTAAGTACATTTAGCTGATAATACTTTTTTACTTTTATTTATCTAGGATTTTAATTTTAAATGTAGGACTTTAACCTGTAATGGAAAATTTCTACATTGTTGTTTTGATACTTTAAGTTAAGACCTGAGTACTGCAGACTTTAGATTGTCAAGAAAATCCTCCGTCTGAGTTGGTAGTGTCTTTAAAATAAGTTTGTGCACAAAAGTGAGGCATGAGTTCAGATATAATTGTCTCGCAGTGAGAGTGCACAGTGGCCAGTGGAGACAAAGTTTAAAAGACAGTGAAAGACTAGAATACAGACAGACAGAGACAGGTACTACCTCAGGTGTGGGTTTGAATCCAGCTCCTGAACATTGTTGCATGTCATCCCTCCTCTTTCCTCTGTCAGCTGTCTGATAATCAGGTCAAATACCACAGAGATCTGGAATCATTAAAGCTGTTTACCCTCTCAGAATTCAACTGACAATTCGTTTCCTGCATCTGACTCTTGTTGGATTGTTTTTGATTTTGGGGCCTTGCTTCCAGTCCTCGTCTTTGTTGCCAATCTGATCCCTCTCTCTCCCTGTCTGTCTGTGCACATCTGTCTGTCCACCCATTCTGTCTGTCGGTCTGTCTGTCTGTAGGAGCTTGGAGAAAATGATTACGATTCTGGGTTCAGAGTGAGTATGAGAGCCGCAGAGAGCACCAACTACACACATGCTGCACACCGTTTGTTACAGCACTAACAAGGCAGTACATTCATTAACACTGGAGGTGTTAGTCAACTTACTAACAGTGAGTGAGGAGGAGTGAGTTCAGGGCTCTGCTTGAGGACATATGTAAATATGCTCTGTTCATGTGAAACTACACCTGCAGCCTGGCTTCATTGTCGAGTTTTATTTGAATCAGGTTCATGCAAATGTTCAGCCACACAAAACACACAAGTAACACCTAACTAAATTGAAGACAACAGTAAAGCTGATTTTATAGATGTATAGATGTGTAATGTAACTTTTTCTTTTTCATTACCAGATAG